CCTGCGGGGCGGGCGCTGCGTGAGGGGGTACGTGCCCCCGCCGGGCCGCCCGCCCGCCGCGGAGGACCCCGGTTCGCTGGCAGCCTCGGGCGCCGCCTCGCCTCTGCGGCCGCCGGGAGCGTGTTTGGGGGTGTCGTGGGGTGGGGGTGTCGCTGCTTCCCCCCGCGGAGCCTCTCACAGCGTGACCCGGCAAGCCGTCCGCCGGGGCGGCGGGGGGCGGCCCAAAATAAGGCTCGGCTGGAGGCTGAGGAGCCGAAGCAGAGGCGGCCTTGGTAGCCGGGGCGGGGGGGCTCTGGCCTTCGGGAAGCGGTGTGGGCGCCCGCTGTGCTGCGTGGGTGGCCCTTCCTCCTCCCTCTCCCCGCAACCGGAGCTGCGGGGGGGGCGGCCGGTGCCTCGGGGTGCGGTGGTCCGCGCCCTGGGTCTGAGCGCACATTTCCCCTTGGCAAGAAGTGCCGTTGCTGTGACGCATGAGCCTGTCGCCTTAAAAAGTGTGTAATTAGTGGTACAGAAACGAACTGCTCGATTCCAGACGCGCGTAGAGAACTCACAGCGGTTCTGCTGAAGTTCTTACCTGCTTGGAACTGCACTTGCTTGCTGATCCAGTTGAGATCTTGCCCTAGCTGTGGTAAGCTTATTTAGAGCTCTTGGGCTGAAAGGAAGTCTTTGATGTAGTAGAAGCTAAACTATGTGCGGAAAACAGCCAGAAGGTGCCTAAGAATGAGGATTAGTTTAAATAACTATTGCCTTGGCAGTGGTATTGAACAGGTATTGTGTTACTGCGTCTGTGTTAATTGCTAATGAGCAGACAGTAACTTGATTTTAGATAGGTGATGCTTTCACATGAAGTACCATGAGACTGTCACAGAAGCATGTTCAACTTCTAGAACCCTTTAACTGAAGATTAAAATAACTACTTTTAGATAACATCGCTTGTGCTTCTAGTGTGGCAACTCTTTCTTCTTGGAGCAACTCCTGTCAGTACAGTGTATTGTGTGGGTTTCTAGACAGGTTCTGTCTGTTTGTGTGGTTTGCTCCATTTTGTCCTCCTCCTTTACAAGCATCACATCATAATATGTCCGTGCTGGGACATGTACAAAGTCTTCCTGAGCAAGTATCGTCCTTTCCTACAGGAATCTAGTTTTCATTGCTAGAGGGAGATATCTTGAAATACTAGCCAGTGCAGTGCTTTTTACCAGCCTTACTATTTGTTGTGAAGAGAAAGCTTCCTATGCAACCAGTGGCTGCTGACTCAGCCTTAACATTAAATTGGGCAGTGCCAGTACTGCTTCTGCTGCTTGTTGAGCTGCAGCAGAGTGACAACCAACCATGTTCTGCTTATTGTGTATTGTTGCACTTCTGGGCTGTGTACATGGCAGGAGGCCCCAGCATGAGAAGAAATCAAAGCAAAAAGCAAGTGGGTGTTATCAATAGTTCTGCACCGTGGTCAGGGATGGTGCTTTAGGTCTTCATAGACCGCTTTGTGAGAAACTTTTTGCTCATACTCACTTCTAGCAGTTGGGCAAAGTTGATAGTTTGTATATTGGTAGTTAGGTGGCCTTTTGTGGTTAAGTATTCTGCAAAACGCTTTTAAGCAGGCATGCGGGCAGAACGGTAACCTGGGTTCTCTGCTCTGTTGGAAACAACCCCTATGTGAAGATAGATGCTGTAATAGTGTGAGAAGGTCACTCTGGCATAGGTCTCCTAGAAGAAGATAAAAGCAGAGCATCTCAATGCTATTTTTTATAACTCCTTAAAGGATAAGATTCAATTAGCACTCAAGTACTGCTCCAGTAGTCCTAATGAGTTCAATGGAAGTGCCTTGCAGTAACATCTCATCTTTATAGGAGACACTAAATATTGTTCTTGTGGTGTTTTCATGGTATACCAGTGACTGTAGAGACTACCATACAAGCCTTTCAACAGCACAAGGCGTAAAGATGAGCTGTGAAAGGCAGTTTAACCTATATCAGCTAATTAATGAATAAAGTAATGATGGCAACACCACTGAACAGATGTCTGCTCTCAAGTGGCTAGTAGCTTTGCATATAGGCAGCAAAATTCATATAGATTAACTTGCCAGTAGTATTTTATGGCTAATAAAGCCAAACTAAACTATTAAGTTTCTCCCTCAGTGCTGATGGTCTGGCTTGGTACCTCAAAACCAGTGGGTGGGAATTTTGGAGCTCTCTTGGTAGTGGGTCAAATAAACTCCCTCTGCAGGGGGTGTGCAGATGTGCAAAGTACAGTTATAAGTGCATAGTAGTGAGTGCCTGTGTGTTGATTTCTTTCCATACTCTAAACTTGCCACTCAGACTTATGTTGGTGCTTGCTCAGCTCCATTATAGAGCAAATCCTGTTGCTTAGAACAGTTTTTCAAGATTGTGCCAAGTTCTATTAAGAGCCTCTTTGCTGCCAGCTTCACTTAGGCACTTCATTTAGCTTGTTAGTTAAAACTTTAGGTTCTGTATCACTTGTCTGATGAGTAACTGCATGCAGATTCACTTTCCAGCCCCAATTGTAGGAACATTTTCATGCGAATGATCCTTCTAACCATGACTAATAGCCAGACAGTCATTCTTCTGCATCACTGCATGCTTCAAGCTTACAAAGTGTATTTGAAATTGGAGGCTTGGCCAAAATGGCAGTCTTTGGGGACTAAACCAGTGAAGCAGACAGACCTTTCTTAGCCATGTTACTATGCATGTCACTCTACTGCTAATATTTGCTGTAAGAGTACAAACAAATCAGCGATTTTAACCTAATGACTATTTGGGGGGAGAAAAATCATGCAAGTAATTTTACGTAGTGATTCAGCTTTCCATGTATCTTAAGCTGTTTAAGATTCTGCTCATGTACATAACTGGCCTTGCTGCATACAAGAGTTGTGGATTTGGATCAGCTTCTTGGTTCCCTTCCCAAACAGTTTTTTTTCTTCCTTCTCATCAATATCAAATGGAAACTGCAGGTTCTTAATGTGTTGAAAGTGCATTGCTGTTCATACCTGCTGTGCATGTGGGATGTTGACAAATGATAGGGGTAATGATAGGAGTATGTTTCTCTTAGGTGAGACATTTGAGAGATAGCTAAAGAAATATTGTGTGGGAGAGGGTGAAAACGAAGGATGAGCTTTGCTTTGGTTTTTTTTCCCCTATCCTTGATAGGTAGGCCAGCAAAATGAGCTCTAAGTGTACTCTTAGCTTTTGTCTGGATGATTCTCAGTGCTGCATTCTGTGTCCCCCTGAAACAGTATCACTCAGCTTCAGATAAAGTATTACAGACTGATAATACATTAACATATATGATTTTGATCTTTCGCTAGACACTGGTAGAACTGATTCACTGAGGAAAATTATACCTGCCCCAGTAACAACAAACTGTGCTGTGTTGGCTCAGACAAGTGGATACACTCCTGTTTAAAGGAGAAGGTAGCTTCAGGGCCCAAAGGATTACTAGAAGGACTAGTACTGTTTTGTTTTGTTTTTCTAGTAGAACTGAAAAGCAGGCACAAACAAGACTATTGTCTAACCACTGCTGGAGAAGGCATTTGTATCCTGTGTCTGTGGTAGATTGCAGGTGACTGATCCAGTCTGTTCTTCTGAAACATGCCAGAAAGGGGTTGCTTAGTCTCTCTGTCAAATTCTTTGAAAACAGATTCCCTCTGTCCCTTTGCTGTTTGAGCAAAAGGTAGGGAAAAACTCTCTTCTCTGTATTGTTAGTGCTTTGGCAGTCTGTCCTGTTCCAGGCTTCTGTCCGTCTTGAATATTACAAGATCTGTCACTGTTACAGGCTTTTTGTTGCTTACCCAGTGTTCTCACTGTCTCGTCTCTTGCTGAGTGGCTTCTTATCTTACAGTAGTCAAAGAGCTCCCTGCATCAATTTTGGCTATGAGTGTGTGTGGTGCAATCAAGCTGCCTGTCCAATGCAGCAGAGTGTGAACAGTTTGTGGGACCAATCAAAACCTCTGTTGGTATAGGAAAGCTAACTACGTGAGGCCAATAATGTTCTTTGCAATCATTAACTGACTTTAGAAATCTAGATTCTGCAGTATCTGGTAAACCTAGTGTGTCAGGTAAAGATGCTAAACTGGAGATACTAAATTTGGACCACCTCTTCTTTTAGTGTTTTTAGCAGCAATAAATTGTGTATTGCATCAGTCTTTTGAGGCTGCTTTTAAAATTGCTTCTTGATACGTCTTAAAAGCGCGTATTTAAATAGGACATTAAAATTGTTTTTTGCCTGTGCTGAGCTGTGCTGCATCTGGGTCTAGTTGTAATAACATTAAAAAAAAAAAAAAGGCAAAACTACTTCAGATTGTGATGCTGTCAGTGTGGAAAAAGATTAGTTAAGACATAACTTAATAACTGCATTCTGCAAGAGACCTGGTGAGTAGCATTATCACTTGCCCAAAGGTCTAAGGCTCCCTGTCTACTAGAGAGCTGTAAAAATAGCTATGCTAACAGGTTTTGTTTTCTCCCTTCTTTGAAAGATGTAGATACTCCTTTTTTTTTGTAGTTCAAGAGCAATGGTAAGATGAGAATTGGCTAGTGATGTTTTATAGTTGCGTGTGAATTTCTTGTCCTGGTTGTGGCTGGGATAGAGTTAATTTTCTTTCTAGTAGCTGGTATAATGTTATGTTTTGGATTCAATATGAGAAGAATGTTGATAACACACTGATATTTTCAGTTGTTGCTAAGTAGTGTTTAGACTAAGTCAAGGATTTTTAGCTTCTCATGCCCAGCAAGCAAGAAGGCTGGAGGGGCACAAGAAGTTGGGAGGGGACACAGCCAGGACAGCTGATCCAAGCTGGCCAAAGGGGTATTCCATACCATGTGATTTCATGCCCAGTATATAAACTAGGGGGAGTTGGTTGTGGGGGGATCACTGCTTGGGAACTAACTGGGCATTGGCTGGGGAGTGGTGAGCAACTGCATTGTGCATCACTTGTTTTGTATGTTCCCATCCTTTTATTAGTGTTGTCATTTTATTATTGCTACTATTATCATTGTTATTTTCTTCCTTTCTGTTCTATTAAACTGTGCTTATCTCAACCCATGAGTTTTACTTTTTTTTTTTTCCCCCTGATTCTCTGCCCCATCCCACTGGGTGGGGGGGAAATCAGTGTGCGGCTGTGTGGTGCTTAGTTGCTGGCTAGGGTTAAACCATGACACTTCTTTATATTGTACTATTGTGTTTCTTAAAGATAAGGTCAAGAAGTTGTTGGAGTATCTGACTCCCCTTCAAGTCAAGGTTGGAGGGTCAGGTATCAGAGTTCAAGAGCTGGTAGTACCAGTCACTGATGGGTATCTGGGACCTTAATGTGAACTCGGATTCTGTTCCCCAGGGTTGGCAGCCAAAATAAGTCTCGGTTAATTCTGAAGAAATACTTGGGCTAATAGGCATACATAATTTTTTTTTTTCCTTATTGCCTGTGGAAACCTTACAGGGTAAAGGTGAAAATCTTATGAGGAAAAAGTAAGCATTTATTTGTTATGCTTGTAGCAAAGCTTGCTTTGTTTATGGTGTACAGTACTCCCAAGGCACACTTAGAACCTAGAAAACCGAGGAGCAAGAAAGCATGGGTATTTTATTATTTAACTGCTTTGTATGAGGAATTTTAATGCCTCTTAGTGGCATGACTGAGTGCTGGACTGTTGAAAACAGTGTGCACATTAAATGTGTTCTACAGAGGAAATAATTATCTTTCTCATACCAGTGTTAGTATTAAATAAGGGAGAAAAGTGACATAATACTAAGCCATAACTTATACCAGCATAAGAGATTGCAAAATCGGTTCTTTCATTTCTTTATTACAGATGAGTACTGAAGCAGAACAGCAGCTTCTCCATGATGCTAGAAATGGAAATGTTCAAGAGGTTAAACAGCTGTTGGATACCATGGACAAAGGAGAAATAAGATTTGATATCAACTGTAAAGGTTAGTAGCCTTCCTCGAATGTTTGTAATCTCACTGTTGAAGTCACATGTAGTGAAACTGTTGCTGATAGTATAATCTTGCTTTCTTTGGAGTGCTCAATAGAGTAATAAAAAAACACTTCAACAGCTGCTTTTGTCCTGTGACTCAAGGCCATAGTTACATAGGGAAGCGATCATAAAAGCAGAGTACAGATAGTTGTAATGTACAGAAAACCTCAGATTAATTTGCAGAACCTGGAAGTATCAACAAGACAAAGAATCAGTACCTCTTTTTGCCTGTGTTCATGCTTATGCCAACTTCAGAGCTTTATAATACTAAACAAAACTGACTGTGGTGACAGGGAATGGTTCAGGGAGGTAAAGAGCCTTTATCAGGGCTGCAGAGAAGATTAGGTCATTTATTTGTGCTCTCCTAGGTGTGATGATTTTGGGGGGGGGGGCGGCGGCAAGGCCGTGTTTCATTATCGTGTAGTAGGAGCAGCTACAGCTCTTGGCACTTTCAGGAATGGTTGGGACAAATGTATGCTTTTTACCATTAGCAGTATACTAGGTTACTTGGGAAAAGAAAGTAAAACTGTTGGTCAGCTGGATCTGGGTCTTTGGCCAACATTAAAGTTTTGCACATGCATAGCCAACATAGTTATGGCTAAGCAACTTGCTTGCTGAGCACTAAAACTTCAAACTGGGGCTGGATTTGCAAGCTTGCTAGCAATTGCAGACTGCCCTATTTCTTTATTCATTTAGTAGCTTTATATTTCTCTGTATTTACATGAGTGTGTTTCTGCTTGCTTCAAAAAGGTGGATGTGTATCCCGCTCTTTCTACACAGGCTGGTATTTCTTTGTTCAGCATTTAACTGTTAAGGAGCACTGAGAAGATAGTACTGCAAAGGGAGAGAGGAGAGAGCAACTACCTTTCCTCTCAGCCATGACAGAGGGAACACATTGCTCTAAAGAGCGCAGAAGCCTGTTATCTGAACAAGCTCTATCCCTTTCCCAAGTCTCATTCTTAATCACCAGTTTACTCATCCTTTGTTTGACTACTCAGCTGTGTCTGTGTTTTCCCAGTAGTTAATGTGCTCATCTCAGAAAAACAAGTTGTAAAACCAAAACCCGTGCTACTTCATCTTCAGGGAGCTAGTTTATAGGAGAATTAGACAGAGCTTGATGGAGCTGAAGTCCTCCACCCTCCCAAGTATGTCCTTTGCAAAAATTCATGACGCTGTGTATAGTGCCTAAACAGCTGGAATAAAAGCACCTTAAGATTCATGCAACAGTATCCATAAATAAGTTGCTGAAGTCTATTGTGCTTAGAAGAGGTTTCAGAGCTTCTCAGATGTGTTCTTAAACATAATCTGAAGTCAAGAAAGCATAATGAAATGGCATAATCTGCAGTCCTGTATTATATCAAGCAAACTGGTCTCTGGTCAGCATTCCTGCTCAAAGTCAAGTGTTAGTATTGTGAAAGTCTAGACCATAGAAGAGACTCAGCTAGTGAAGGGAAAGATGGTCCTTAGCTGTTACTCTTCCAGTTTAGCAATACATGGCCAGCCAGCTAATACATGCTTGCTAATGGGAGGTCTAGGAGGCTAGAGGGAACATGCTCATGATGGTTTAGGTTAAACAAAATAATTCTGAATATGGAATCCATACACAGTGAAATCTCTGCTTTCTAAGTTCTGATTCTTCTAAATGTTAGAGGACACAGAAGTGTAACTAAAATGTTCTCTGGGGGAACTGTTCTGGTTGTGTGAAACTTGAGTTAAATCTCTGTTCTTCCACAGTCAGTCTTCAGAGACTGACTGTTTCAATCACTCTGCTCCTGTAGAGTACTCCATTGGAAATAGTCTAAGACAAAGACAAATTCAGGCCGAACAGCCTTTGCAGCATGACTACCCCTGCTACTGTGCCTCCTTGCTAGCAAAACCACTATGTCTTGCTACAAATCCTGATCTGTTAAGTACTACCAGATAGTAATTGCATAACCACATGTTGATTAACTAAAATACAGGCTGTAGACTGTAACTGACTTTTTGCAATCCTCAGTCTTCCTTCTCTTCCCTACAGCCTTTTATCCTTCCGTCATTACCTTCTGGATAATCAGATGTCCCTAGAAAGTCAGGATATGGGGAGTGTCTTCAGTGCTACAGCAGTTCCTTCAGGACTTGCATCTGATGTGGCAATGACACTTGGCTTGGAATAAAGTACTTTTGGAGCAGGTGGGAGGCTGTACTGGAGGTAGTGTAAACTTCCCTCAGAGTGTGCCTTGAGAGACTAAGTCTGACACATTAATGTGCCTGGGTGTCAAAGCCTGCCTTCAACACCTTGTAAAACCTATCTTGCCTTTCCAAGGGTGAGCTTATATCTGAGGCTGTGCTCTAGATTTGCAAGTGTGACATCTGACAATAGTAATCCCAAACATCCCGACTTCAGCCAAAGTGAAGGAAGAGGAAATAAATCCAAGCTTCTTGTACTTGCTCTGTTGTGACTGGATTCTAGCCAGTCAATGCTTGCAGATAAGCAAGACTTGCTTGATGAGAATCTAGCCAAACAGTGTGAACTTCCATTTCCAGTTTTCTCAGTTCAGTGGTTTCAAAAGAGGATATCCACATTAAAACAGCCCTAAACCTGGGTTTCATCTGAAATGATCATGTTTTCTAAACCTGTCTATGTTGGCTCATTCTCCTTAAACACAAGAAAATAGAATATCCAGGACTTTGCAGAGTAAGAAAACTGTGAAATAAGGTCAGTGGTCAATAGTGCGTTATGGCAAAATACACATTTGGATGGCTGCACAGTAGCCTAGCAGACTACAACCAGGAAATGACTACCTCCATTCTCTAAACAAATGGTCACACTTGACACTTATAGTTAACTGGCATCAAAGCAAAGAACTGGCTGAGAGGGGTAGGGGATTTTTTTGTTGTTGTTGTGTTTATCCTACTTTCCTACCCTCGCATTCTCCCCAGTGTAATGATGTCCTGGTTTAAAATAATAATAAAAAAAAGTGCAAACACTTGTGGTCCCTTGAAGAGAAGTAACAAACACCCCAGGAGCTTGATAAGTAACTGGTTAGCTAATATCAGAAATGCCGACATTGAGTGGATGCAGAACAAGAGTCTGTGGCACTTTATTCAGTAAGAACTACAAATGTGGACAGATTCCTGACTTTTTTTTTTCTTTTTTTTCATGACCAGATTCCTTGGCAGCAGCACTGTCTTGTCAGTGCTGTAACTAATGACTGTCTTGGGCTAATTGTATGAATTCAGTGCAACTTGGACCTCTTTTGTGTTCTTTGAAAACCTTCTTCCTTACTAGACTGAGGGATGAATGATGTCTGTTTAGTATGTTATCCAGCATACATAGCCCCAGAGTTAGTAATTCACATGGTATTTCTCTCTTCTGTGGTACTTTAGCCCATCAGTGACATAGGGCAGGAACTTTGTTGTAGGCCAGGCTGGAATGAGGGGAAGATACTAAATCAGTGTTGGAACAACAGGAGTTGAGAAGAAAGAGAATCAAATAACTAAAGAAATAGCCAATAAAGAGCAGAAATGTTAGCTGGAAATGATTGTAAGAAATGGGAAAATATGTCAGCTGTGAACCACATTTTAATGTTAACTTGTAATATGAGAGCAGAAAGAATGATGAACTTGCAAGACCAGCAGTTCTCTCTTTCCTTGTGCTAGTGGCTTGTCTCCTCAGGGCAAACTTATGTTGTGCATGTTCCAAGCCTCAATGCTTGAGGATACACGAAAGGGGAAAACTTAATGGTGGCAGTAGTTTCAAAACACTTTCTAATGCCTTACTTTCATTTTGCTTCCAAATGAAAAAATGATAGCTTTCAGGTTGTACTCTGAATGCTGTGGGTCTGTTGTTTAGTAAAAACAAAGCACAAACCAGCTTTGCTTAATACAGTTGAGTGTTACAATTGGAAAGTAACACGAGTTGTTAACTTAGTAATCTCTAATGCTTTTAATATCTTGCTTTTAAAGAAGTAATTGTAGGATGGTTCTTGAATTTCATTCATACAGCCAGTCCTCCAGGGCATGCTTTAAATGCTCTTTAAAGCATAAATCATAATTTCCTTTGCCTGGTCACTTCTGTGCCTGCTTCCTGCTTGTGCTTATCATTCCTGCAGAGGCTTAGAGCTGTAGATGGTACATGAGTTCTACAGTGCACAGAGATTTCAGATCATGATACTTAGTAAGGCTGTCTTTGTTAAAATGAGTACAAGCACAAGACAACAAAATACCCTAACGTTAGGTCATCCCACCTGTTTTGTTGTGAATCCTCTGTTTGGCTGACGGGTTGTCCTACCTCTCATTTGTGTGCAGGAAATAAAATCAGGTAAACAAAACAGTTTTTTGATAAACAAGAGAAATGTGTACTTGCATGTGCTATTTTCATAGTAAAAGTAACTGAAGCTTCTTGCTGCTGTTGAAGAACAAGGTATTAAAACAAGTTTTATTCTCCATCAGACTACATGACTTTCTTCTTTAAGAAAGATTTTGTAGATTTGAATCTAACGTTCTCAAGCTGCATCCCAATTTAGTAATTCTAATTATGAATAGTTAGTATTGATGCTTCCAGCCTCCTTGCTCCTCTGTTACTGTGAAGAATGATCATCCATGCCAACCTCTAAGCACATGGCAAGATCTTTTTTGTATTGTGTGACCAAAACTTGATTTACCTGTTTTGTCTTTCAGGCAGAAGTAAATCTAATATGGGTTGGACACCTCTTCACCTTGCTTGCTACTTTGGACATGCTGTTGTGGTAGAGGATTTGCTGAAGGTACTTGTTTCTGTGTGTAAGGCAGAAAAATCTTTGTTATCCTAGAAGCAGTTAGTATTTATTTGGGTTCTTGTGATGGAAGAAAGGTGGCTTTGTAGAGAGGCAGAGCCACTTCTACAGTTTATCTGCATGTAACAGAGATAACTGATTGTTAAAACTAAGGGATGAAATAATTGCAGTATTAAGATCAGCCAAGTTTACAAAGACCCAAAATGGTGACACTGGAAGACTGTACAGTAGTACACAGCTATTACTCTGAACAGTGTTTACAATTGTCAGTACTTAGCTAACTCATGGAGTATATGTGTTTGTGTAACCATCTGAATGTAAATATTAAAGACGTATAGTATATAGATATGCCCTCATGAAAGCTTCAGCCTTTTTCAAGCTTAGTGGATATCTGCATATAGTAAGCCAGCATCTGATAACTAGTAATGCAAATGCTTCAAGGGCCTGATCTAGCTTACTGTAGTACATAAAGTATATAATCTAGGCAATTTCACTTACTGAGTTGTAGAAAAGGCTAAAGTGTTTCAAATGTGGAAAAAAATCTGTGTTATCTAATTGTGTGTTGTGCATAGAAGTATGTCCAGAATTCTGTGCAGCATAACTTGTATGTGTTTCTTTCCAGGCACAGACTAAGGTAGTTTGACTCATTATTTCTTTCTAACATCTTTGAAATAATGAACTGTGTGATGAACTTTGAAATGATGAACCTTTGTCATCAAAGCTGACCTGTTTGTATCTTTATAGCCACATCTGCACTGCATTTGCAGTTGTTTCTGAGTATATTTTTTTACCCTCAGCTCTCAGAGTAGGTTCAACCAACGCTAACTATATTATACTCTATTCATATTTGAAAGATTTTGCTGTAGATGGCAGAAACATGCTAAACAGCCTCAGATACAAAGGTAGCTAATCTAAACTTGTATTTCACTCAGAATAAAGGCTACCAGCCATAATCATGACTCTAAAGTAGGAAACAAAATTGAGATTTCTTTAAGTTCTTCTCTAGCCTACACACTTGTGCTCAATAGATAATGCTGTTCTCAATCCAAGGGCTACTTAAAGCAAAACATAAAGTTTTGTCACTTAATGCATTTATCAACACTTCCAGAGTTGGATGAGTATATGTAACTGTGCTTTCTTCTTTCTGATAGGGCTCCTGAAAGGGTATTATTTAAAGAGTAAGTCGAACAGCAGGCTGTACACCTCTGAAAGCTAGGCATATATGAGTGTCTGTGTACTTGTGCCTAGATTTTGTGCTCAAAGAGCAAGTGAATGAGGTATTATCAGGAACAGCTCTGGAACTAGAGTCAGGTTCATCAGTTAACTTTAGGCAGGCAGCAGTGACCTGGCTAAATTATATGATCTAAACCTATGTGATAAAGGTAAATATGTCCTGCCCTCTTTCTGACCCTTTGAGAGGTTAGGTAAAGCAGTGTAGAAGAAATGCTTCAAGAAGGAAGGATAGGATTTCCTGGTTTCCTGGAACAGTGCCTGTGCATACTGGCAAGCAGTCTTCCTTTCAGATAAAAGGTATGGGATGGAGAAAGTGTGTGACAAGAGGAAGGGAGGTTCAAGGCAAAGATTGTAGAAAAGAAAAGGAAGAAGGAAGGTTAAGTTTCAGATGGTACCATCTTAATGCTGACATGGAAGTTTTCACTTCAAGTTGAAGAGCAGCAATAGGTGCCTAGGGAGAACACCACTTGTTAAATCAGGAGCACCAGGAGGCTGATGCTACTGTGTGTACATTTATAGTAATATATGTATGCATGTTATACAGTACCACTGCAGTTCTTTCATTAAGTTTTTTTGGTGGTTGTTTTTTCCCAACACCTGTCCCCCCCACCCACGCCCCCCTGCAAAAAACCCACACCCACAAAATCCAAAGCAAACAACCAAACCAACAACCCCCTGTGTTAAACTTGTTTTCCATATACCTTCTTCTTAAAAGTGAGAGATATGCCTGGAAAAATGCAGGAGGCTTTTCCTCTTTGAAGTAGTTTAGAGTGCTGGTTATGAATCTTACATACGTAGTTATCTTTGTTTCCAGGATGACTGTATTACAGTTCTGATCCGATTTGCCATGAAGCCTACATTAGCATTCTGTCCTCCCCTTCCCCCCAAGTGAGAGGGAATAGCTATGTAGTTCTTGTTGAAAGGACATTCAGATGTCTTTTGGTCTTGCTGTTTAGGCTGGTGCAGATGTGAATGTGCTGAATGACATGGGGGACACTCCACTCCATCGTGCAGCTTTCACAGGACGCAAGGTAAAGTATTTTGGCTTTTTTGAAGCCTCAATCATAGAATTATTAAGGAAATACTAGCAATAAGATCAGTTCAAAAAGATGGTTTTTTACAGTGTCTAAAAATAACTTACCTGTTTTGGTACAGTGCATTCAAAAGGACTAGGCATATTGCCTCGCTGGTATAACCGTCCAAAACAAAAACATGGTACAAATATCTTTTCTTGAAGATGGGAGATGACATCCATGGTTTTTCTCTTAGTATACTTTGTCATATCTTTTTTTTAGCTTTTTGTTGATGAAGATTTTGCTGGCAGAGAAAGAAACAGTAGTTGTCTTCCACTGTAACACTGTGCATCAGTTGTGTAACTGATGTTGCTTCTGTTCTGCTTCTGCTGTGTGTCACAGAAGATGCTGAAGCATAGCACTACCTCTAGCTGCACATGCTAATTACCATGTGGAAACCAGTGTAAAGATCTCTCATCTACTACTAAAGTGCAACGAGTTCATTTGTGTTTGTGCCTGGTATGTTTGACACAGTAAAAGGAGTAGGGATTGTTCCTTCTAACTGCATGTTTACATAGAGAGAAACCACACTGTTTTAATCTTAGTGGCTTCTGGAGGGGAAAAAACTATAAATTAGGACACACTGGTCCATTTGGTGTCTGGAAGTGGTTTTTCTTCATAGAAAACTAGAACGAAAGAGCTTTTTATAGGCCTGTAATGTGAGACTAGTTTGATTGTTCCCCACATGCCACCATCATTCTCAAGCTAGTACTACCTCTATACATAACCTCTTGGCCCTTCTAAAGGAGTTACTACTCGGTCTCTTATCAGAAGAGCCAGTCGTACTGGTTTTATCTGTCAAATTCAGCATTCACACCAGGTACACCAGCTTTTAAATAGGAGCGGGTCTGTTCGGCTAGAACTAATCTCCTGTTGGTTCCTTCAGGCTGACTGACATGAGAGAGAAGGTTGCAGTTAGTCCCACTTCAATCTCTCTAAAACATCTCTTCCTGTTTTCATAAGGCAGCAGTGGTGAGAAGCTGTTCTACAGCTCATCTTACAGGATGTCAGTAGCTGGAAAGCCTGATTGTGGCCTTGCCATAACAGAGATAGATAAGCAGTATTTTTCAAATTGTTTTGCAGGAGGTGGTGATGTTACTCTTGCAGCATAATGCTGATACTTCTATTGTTAATGGGAGTGGAGAGACTGCCAAAGAAGTTACTCATGATAAAGACATAAGGAATATGTTGGAAGGTAACTTTAACAGGTCATAGGCTGTTGTGGGTTGTTGGTTAGTTTTGGGTTTTTTCCCCAACACTTGTACATTCTAAAAGCTGATTTTTCTCCTGCAAGTTACAGAAGCTCAATTGAGTTTTCTCTTTACATTTGGTCATTAGAAAGAAAAAAAGTCATAGTTTTTGGTTCTTGTCTGCAATACTGACAGGCTTTGGGTTTTCTTTATTTCATAATATGTCTGCAAGAGACTTGGAGAGTTAAGTATGAATACCAATAGCATTGTTCAAGTAACTATTTCAGCCCTGCTGGGGTAATCCTTGCTACAGTTTGAATGGTACATGGCAGTCAAAGCCTTAGCTCACAGGAAGAGGAAAAACTCAAGTCGTTAAGTGACTTTGTGTCAACAAAATCTTTAAAAGAGCAAAATCCTGGGCAGTTTGCAAAGGTGACCCAGTTTTGGATCAAGTTTAGGACTTGCTATTGCAGTCTTAGAGGTTATGTCAAAAGGAAAAAAAAAAAAGTAAAAACCCTTCACCTTGTTTCCTTCATTGCCTCATAGGTATTGAAAGTGAGGGAGATGGTGTCCAAATACTTACATAGGCTCACTGCTCATAGCTTTGGAGAATTCAAGAACTGTGTTGCTTCCTGGTATTATGCAATACCCCTAAATACTGCTGAAGCTCTGTGTCCAGTGCCACAGACTCTGTATGTGAAAAGTGACCTGTCTTCTGATTCTACATGCATGTGCACAGATAACAGTCCTTTCTGCTGCTCCTCTGTTGGATTGCTAGAGAAGAATAAAATTTCTGTAGAATGACAGGAAGAGTAGAAGGGAAACTGAAAAGAACACAGGGAAGATCTGATGACAGTGTCACGTAGTTCCCCCATTTCCCTTTTACTAGGGAAACTAGGGAGGTTTTTTACTAGAGAGTGGGGTTGGGTTGTAAGTGTTTAAAAAAAAATAACATGTGTATGTGCATGTGTATACACACACATCTTGTCAGATATTACATTTTGAACATATTTTTGCTTGTGACACAGACTTTTCTGAATAAATATTCCATTTATACCTGTCCCAAATAAATAATACTGGAAACTCTTGTTTCTCTAGGCTTGTTTTGATACAGTTTCTTGAATGCTGTACTTTATATATACTTGCTACTTTACTGAGACTGACCTTAAATTTGTTTTGTTTTTGTTTTTTTTTTTAAATAGCAGTTGAAAGGACACAAGAAAGGAAACTGGAAGAAGAACTTTTAGGAGCAGCAAGAGAGGGGGAAACAGGGAAACTGACTGCCTTGGTAAGAACTCAAGTGCTTGTAATACTTTTGTGTCAAGTGGTTCAAACCATAATGCTAATGTAACAACATGTGACATTAGGCCTTGCATTTCAAAGTGCTGTGACTTCAGAATATTAGTGCTGTGCACCATGTTATGTTGGTAAGGTGCTGAACCCGCAAGGGTTTTCAAGCCTCCTTGTTGGAGGCTGCAAAACAATGGTTTTCAGCTTCTTTCCTGTTTCTAAATACTCTTCAGTTAGTTGTAAATAGCAGTGTAGTGGTTCTAGATCTACTAATCTAAGCTTGTTATGTTTTTGTGGATACCTTAATGTCATGGGTGCTTAGGTTTTCACTACAGTATGGCCTATTTTAAATCTTGAAAGTAAGCTTTTGTCATTAGCATCTGTTGCAGCTGAAGTCTCTGTAGTTTTTAATGGACAGTCATCTACACAACACAATTTCATGCTGAGCAGGAATTGAAAACTGTATATGTGCACACATGCACACTTGTAGTAATTCAAGCTGAACAATACCATGGTGTAGCAAGGCTATCGGAGAAGCAAATCACAGAATTGAGACTGGAGGGTGCCTCTGGAGATGGACTAGTCCAACTCCTGTTTGCAGAGCAGAATCAATTAGAGCAGGTTGCCCAGGACCATATCCAGTTGGGTTTTGAAGCAGGGTCTCAATGTTTGAACTCAAGCTTTTGAGAGTCCTGAAGAGTTTCCTTGGAAATAAGACATGCAGTATGGAACACTTTCTACCTAGTTAGCACCTTTAGTAATACCTTTTAAGATGTCAAAGCAGTCTGAATCCTTCTACTTAGTTCTAATGGAAAACACACAAATGAGATTTGTATGTTGAGAAATTTGACATTCTTGTCTGCCTAGAAGCCAGAGTGAACACCTATTCAAAATTTGTTACTTCCATCCTCTAAATTTATCTCTTCTAGTCTGAAGAGCCCTTGTCTTTCTAACTCCTTGCATGGAAACTGTTTTTAAATCTTTGGTCATCCTTGTAATTAATATTTATACTTTTGTACTATCCTCTTTTGAAATGGAGAGAGAACCAGAGCTGTACACAGTACTTAAGATGTGGAAGAATAGTGCTTTAATACAATGGCGTGATTGTATTACAATTAATACTCTGATGTAAGTGATCTGTTCTTTATTCTGGTAATTGGTAATCTGTAACACTTGTTGCATTTGATATTACCTGCCTGCTGACTAAGCCTTAAACTGATGTGGAAAAAATTAGAAAAAGTCGACTTCTCATAGAAAGCTGTCACTGAAGAACTGTGCTTTTTCTCATGTGGCATGTAACTATGCATGTGCATGTAACTCTTCCTGTAAACATTTTCATTTCTAAGTGATTTTTTTAATATTTAGTATCACTGAGCTTTTTATATGTGAAGACAGCTATATGTTGACCTGTAACATTTTTTGAAGTACTTAGCACATTTTTGACCCTGAGGCAGTTTTTAAGTCAAGTCATAACAAGTTTTTCTTGGAATCCTTTGGTGAGTACTTGGACCTGTGACCATTGAATTACAGTTTTAAAACTCCTGCTGACTCTTGAGGAAGTCCAAAAAACTTTCTCTACTTACAGCTCTATGGTGTAAACCTCCTTGACTTTGCTACTTTTAGGTTAATACCTCTATGGAGAATTTGTGTAGTTCTTAATGGCCCTTTATCTTGAAAATTCCTCATACTTTGCCTACTGATTTTCAGGCCTTTCTGCTCCTACTGTATCTTTTTTAATCAGCAGAGTATTACGCTCATGAAACTTCAGCTGCTTACATCTACTTTTATTGTGAGACCTAACACACCAGAATTTGTCCTCTACTGCCCTGCTTTTGGAACAGTGCCACTTACTTGAAAGATACCCTTTTATTGTTAATTCTCCTTTATCTTGATTTTTTTTTAACCAAAAAAGACTATACTGCACATTGTAACACAGTTGTCTGGAAGAGATAACTTAATGGTGCAGTTCATCTAAACCTTCTAATCGGACTTCAGACCATTTTTTCTTCTTTTCCTGCATGCACTTTAACTGCTCCTTCTATTGAAGTTTCTTGAAGTGAAATGGTAGTAGTGGCTTTTGTGCTTCTCTTCTGTCAAGATTGTCACTAGATCACAGTGTGTTTTGCTACTAAAAGCTAGACCTTCAGTAACTGAATCTTAACCCAGGCTTTTTAGTCTACTTGAGGCAAAACCAGTGTGTTCTTCCTGAGAGTTCTCAAAAACATACTGTACATTTACTGAAACAACTGGAGAGCTTTTTCTCAATGAATTGAGGCACGAAACTTTCTTAAGAATATTGCCTTGTAACAAGGTGTAAGCTGCTGAAATGACAGGCATGTGGCTTAAAAGGTGTGGAGGCAAGAAGTCAGGAGGTGGAGATAAGGCAGATGCTGGTTGAGAAGAGCTAAAACCTAGGAATCCTCAGAAACTCAAGTATTTGACCTCAGCATTAATGAGGTTATAGTTCCACAAGCTGTGTCGTCTTGACTTGTGTTCTCTTTTCAGTTGAACTGTAAATAACAGCTGTTAGCAGTTTGTCCTTTATAGGACTATTTCTGAAGCAGATTTAAGGTGGTTACTGTTGATGCTAACTTAAATTGCTGCAATGGGAATTCTGTTATTATGGAGTAATTTCTCTAAAATAGCATATGGCTAATGCAGAAGGCTTAAACTGAGTTTCTCTAAAATCGTTTTTATGCACTTGTGACTCTAGTGTCCTAAGACTGATTAACAGTAACTTAGCCTTTCTGTTAAGGCAGTCCCATTTGGCTTGGAATCTTAACTATAATGGCTGATGTTGCATAGAATGGGTTGGGTTGGGAGGGACCTTTAAAGATCGAGTCCAACTTTCATGTACACATCAAATAGCCACATATTTGAGTAGAAGTGTAGTGGTATTTTAGGGTGGGTAGTAGTGTCATTCTTAATGACCATTTATCCAAGTAAAACTTAGGTTGTTTTTTTTTTCCTCAATTACATAGCTGCTCTAATCTTAAGTTCCCACAGTAGTTAGACTTCAGAATGCAGCAAAACAGTATAGCAGACTGCCTATACTAGGAGGTTCTAAATGGCCTAGAATAGCTCTGTCACTGAGACTGGCAGGCCTGCCACCTTTTTGTACAAAGTTCTTACTCTCTGAAACAGGGTGGCCACACAAACTTGTTCTGGATTTAACGTTGACCTGTGCTAACTTTCAGACTGTGCTTGGGAGTCTTCTATGGAGAACAGTAGATTTTGACAGTAGAATCAGACAGGACCATTCTAGTAATATAAATGACTGAACTGCAATGCTGGGGAACTCTCTCTGGTGGTGTGCAACTGAGCAGGATAAACGTTTCCATCTTGTGTAGCAGAGGTGGAAGGGGTATAGCAAGCAAAAAACTGAGAAGTTCCTTACTGTAGTTAAACATCTTGCTTGATTGTTGTAGTCCTTGCCCTTCTCATGACACTTGCTACATGCCCTCCTTGTTGCCAGATCTACACTGAAGCATCCTAGTTAGGAACAGCTAACTTTCAAAAGAATGAATGTGGCATCTGGAAAGGGAGGAAAACTGATAAGTAAGCAAAACATTGTTTTTTCCAGTTGAACAAGCCCAAACCACCTGATATCAACTGTACAGATCAGATGGGGAACACACCATTGCATTGTGCAGCATACCGTGCCCATAAGCACTGTGCATTGAAACTTCTAAAAAATGGAGCAGATCCTAAAATAAGAAACAAAAATGGTGAGTACCAAATGAAAGTGCATAAAGTGTTAAGAGGAAGCAGAAATTTAACAGATTCTATAAGCTATGTTACTTACCACTCAGTGTTAAGGGAAAATCTTAGGGTGCTATACAAGCTTTGTATCACTAATAAAGGAAGCCCAACACTGACTAAATTGCAAGAGATTCAAGAACTGTGGCAAAATATTTATCATACATGCTTTTATTTTCCAAACTTACCCATTTCTAGAAAATTTACCTGCTGTCTGTCTTGACCATGAAATGTGCCTGGCTTTTGTTTTCTTGATGCTAAACACTGAACACAGGTAACAAAAAAAGTGATAAGATTGAAGATATGGCCCAGACAAAGTGACCCTTCCAAAGAAGGCTTGTAATGAAAGCAAATGCAGGAAAACTTCACGCAGGTGTTATGCAAACTGTGTACTTGTCATCTGATTAAAACTGTCTCTATGTTGATATTTGTGAATGTTCTGAACTGATTTATATAGCTGAAGAGCCAAAACCAAACTTAAATAAGAGCAAAGGCCTCTCTGTGGCTAGTAGAACTCTGAAGGACAGTTCAGTGCACTAAAGTTCAGAGCCTTTTTAGTGTTCTGCCCCTGAGGAGCTTATGTTACCCAACTCCAAGTAAACATAGATGCTTGTGGGACCAAACTTTAATGGGTAAACACAGTGCCAGATTATTTTTAAGTACAGTACATCAAGGTTTATTTGCATCAATTCTCACACTTTGTCTTGGTTACTAAACAGATCAGACGCCCCTCGATCTAGCCCAAGGTGCCGAAATGAAACTGATACTGGGAGGTAAAACTGGAAAGGTAGGAACTTTTTTATCCATTTAAAATGCCAACGCTGTCTAGTTGAAGCTATTCCTACATGAGCTTTAAATTTCTATGCAGGTTATCAACAAACCCCTGAGACGATACGAAGGTCTCCTATGGAAGGTATGTCTTATTTCCTTGTCTAAAATACCTTATAAGTTCTCAAAGTTTGTCAGTATGTCCTTTTCCGTACTTAAGTGAGAGTTGCTGAATGAGGGAACTTTTCAATAATACATTTGTTAAATGGCTTGGCTTTAATCCAGTATATTGGATAAATTATAGGTGGGCTGGCTGGGTGGAGCAGTTACTAGATTCATGGCACTCTGATCTTAACCTCAGTCCCTAAAATCTCTCAATTTCTTGATAATTTTTGTGGCAAAGCTTCACTGTGGTAAGGTTTCTTTCCTTGTCTGTGTGGTGGGCAAAATGTTTTTTGTTTTGTTTTTTTCTTCCCTGAATAGATGTCTTTTAATAATCTATGACTAATATTTTGCCACAAGTTCACCACCTGGAAACTTTAAAACTTAGAGGGAAGATGTCAGTCAAATGGTTGTTCAAAGCTTGTTTTGCTCTGATATGCGAGTGAATCTTTTTCCCTTGTTAAAAAAAAAAAAGCTTTCTCAATCTTCTACATGAATGCTTAATTTTTGTGTTCCTTAATGAAATCTTTGAAGTTTTCTTGAGTTTAAATTTTCCTATGTATTCACACACAATTGTAATACAAAGAACTGTTTTTTAAACTGGAACTATGTACTAAAAGCTTGTCAAAGGTGAAATGTTGTAGCTGGATATCTTAATGTGTTTTGTTTATCATTTGATTTTATAAAGTAGAATTGTGTGGTGATCAACAACCCCTGTAATATTAAAAAATGCAGCATTTTAATATTTCAGTTCTTGCTGAATAGCAGGCTCACCAAAACTTTTGTCATTAGGTATTTCCAAAAAAGAGAGTAGCACTGTAATTGTAAAGTAGTCTCAGGTTGCTGTGATCACCAAGATATGTAAAACCTAAAATGTTTTCCTAATGAGTGCCAGTTTTATGTAATAGCCTTCAAGCTATCAAACTTGCTGGGAATAGTAACTCTTCAGCTGTTAACCTTATCTGGTCTTTTTTATTGTGGTGGGGTTTTTTAATTCTTTTTTTAGAGCTCACGATTTTTTGGTTGGAAACTCTACTGGATAGTTCTAGAACATGGAGTCCTTTCATGGTATCGGAGACAGTAAGTTCCGTGTTTAAATTTCTGAGAAGTGATTTAAATAATTCCCATCTTCACTTTATTAAATCTCTTTTTTCTTTCAAAGAGCTGATGCAGTGAATAATGATCATCGTCAGGGATGCAAGCATCTAACACAAGCTGTCTGCACGGTAGGATGTGAAGTGACTTTAAGTACTGGGGGTTTTTTATGTGATGGTGTTCCATGCCTAGACAGTGAAAACTTCAGCTAGATTGGTAAGCATGCTTTTGTTATAAAAAAGGGAAAAAGCTTGTGTTTTAGCAAGAAATGATGGTTCTTGTCAAGCAAAGGAGTCTTATATGTAAAGTGGCCATAAAGCTCCTTCCCTTCTTTGTAAAGTCTTGAAGATCTAAACAAACATAGGGCTTCCTAAAAGCATGCCTCTTCAGTTGTGCAAAACAAATGTTTGGAGCATGTGATACAGAATACAAAGCTCTAGTTCCTCCTGTAGCTGTCACCGGCTTCTTGTGACTGATTGTGTAACTTAAGCTGATCTCAGTTGGAGAACTGATCAATTCTGAAGGTGACTTTTTGGAAAACTTCCTTAAATTCCATCATGCTTGTGGGAATCCCTTTTGGAAGGAGTGAACAGAGGAAAAACAGGCCAGGTGTCATTTATAATACACAGGAAGATGAAGTGTTTAAGGCAAATGCATTTAGGATAATTTCAATACTTTTTTCTTCTATAACTAACCTGCCCTAGTTCTATAGAATGGCACCACAAGTTCGTTAAACTACAGTTATGTATACTCTTACTATATGAAAAGTGACTCTTCCTTTTCTATATCTACAAATTCCTTAATATTGGTGATCCTGCACTGTTGCTGAGCTTTTGTCTGAATCAAGTGATACAAATATAAGCAAACATAATGTTTTGACATAAAGAACCTCTATATTCTCATTCATGATGTAAAGTGCAAGACAGCACACTTTGCAAAAACGTTCTGACCAAGCTTTTTGTAAACTATAGTTTTGCGTCAAAACTAAGGTGAAAACTTCTGAGTAATTATCTACCTTGCTTATTCTTAATTTTTTTCTTTTCTTACTGATTCATGACACTAATTTTGTGTTTTCTCCACATTGCTTAGGTAAAATCTACAGACAGCTGCTTCTTTTCTGTCAGATGTTTTGATGACACTGTTCATCGTTTCAAAATTCCTAAAAATAGCCTTCCCTCTCAAACAAGAGAGGTAATAATGACTCTTATCAAAGATTTTAAAATGTAATAACTTCTCTAATGAATAATTTCCATACTACTTGCTATGGATGCATTAGTAGTGGGTTCAGCATCTTAATCATCGGTACCTGGTAACATAAGTGCAGATATTGAATCTTTTAGCATGACTGTATAGACTAAATAGTAAAAATGGGCAGATTGTCCTTCTGTTATTTAAGATTAGTGCCACCTTTTTTTCCAGCTCTGTCCCTGTGTTATGCCCTGTAGTTTAACTTCCTCTTTTTCTTCAACTTCTCCATGTGGTAAATTTCTATTGCAACTTCCTTCTGGTGCACTTTATTCCATAGTTCATTATTCTGAACAAAAGAATGTTTAATGGTACATTGTAGTCTTAGCCATTCTCCCAGATGACCTAATAAGTTATATATTCTTAAAATGTGGGTCTGAAACAAGAGAATAACTTTTTTTGTTTTAGGGCTATTTGTAGTGTAGTTACTATTGTACTTCTATAGGTGTACTAAGAAGAGATTAAGTTAGGGGTAGAAGCATCTGGAGTACTGTGTCCAGTTCTGAACTCCCCACTACAAGAGAGATGCAAACATACTGAAGAGAGCTCAACAAAGAGCCATTAAGATGATTAAAGGGACCAGAGCATCTCTCATACTAGGAAAGGCTGAGAGAGCTGGGACTGCTCAGCCTGGAAAAGAGAAGGCTCAGGGCGATCTTGTTAATGTATATAAAATACTTGAAGGGAGGGTGCAAGGAGGGACGGAGCCAGGCTCTTTTCAGTGGTGCTTGGTGACAGGACCAGAAGCAATGGGCACAAACTGAAACACAGGAGGTTCCCTCTGAACATAAGAAAAAAATGTGAGGGTGACTGAGCACAGGTTGCCCAGAGAGGTTGTGAAGTCTCCATCCTTGGAGATACTCAAAAGCTGTCTGGACGTGGTCCTGGGCAACCAGTTCTAGGTGGTCCTGCTTGAGCAGGAGGGGTTGGACAAAATGACTTCCAGAGGTCCCTGCCAACCTCAGTCACTCTGTGATTCAATGAACAGGAAAAGAATCTACCTCTTAATTATGATAGTGCTTGAGGTTTTGTATGCAGTTTGTCATTCATAAGAAGACAGGCTTTGTCACAGGGGACCTTGCTGTCTGAACAAACTCAAAGATGCCAAATATATTCCCTACAGTCTTTTCTTAACTGATGCGACTTTATGTGACCTTGGATAGACTGGGGGGTGGGTTTACATTTGTGCTTAAAATTTAATCAATTAAGTCAGTGGCACTCTGACCACAGAGTATCTTATCTTCAATACATGTTACAATTTTTAACAATCTATCTTATTAAGGTGTCTCATTTTACTATTGAATGTCTTATTCACATCAATAGAAAATTTTAATTTGTTCTTTTGTATGTATGCTGTTACTTTCTGGGGATAACCTTTGAAATGTGTATTAAGTCTGTTTTGTTTTTTTTCCATTCAGAGTTGGCTGGAAGCAATAGAAGACCACTCAGCATATAGCACTCACTACTGCACACAGGAACAGTTGAGTAGTGATGATGAGGAAGATGATACAGTATCTGTTACAGACCTACAAGATACTCTGAAAGTATGTGCCGAGTACTTATTTGGCTCATGCATCTAGGCAGGTGCAGATTAGTGCTGTTTTGTGTGGAAATACTTTAGTGTACTTCAGCTAAAAGTAACGATTCTTTCGTCCCATGGATGCATAAATGCTGCTCGTATTTGCACTGCTTACTGACATGTATTCCTGTTTGGACTGCATGCATAAAATGGCATGTTTATCATAGCTACAGCGTTGTGTTTTTCAGTTTTACAAGCACTACTGCAAGGTAGAAAGTTGCTTGAGACTTTCAGCCAGGAGAGGGAGCCTTGTGTACTGTACTTGGTGACACCAAGACTGGAGGATTACAAAGCTAACCTTAAGCGAGCTCTTCTTCTATAACACAGGCAATGAAATGGCTTAGAAATCATCCTTCAACACCTCAGGTCACATTAGATGTGTTGTACAGTGATTGTTCAGACCTGCAATGAAGATGAGTCTTCCTTGATAATTCTAGCTTTCAACCTCTGATTCTTGCTTTTTTGCTGTACATATATTTCTAAAACCTTTTACTTCAAGGGAAAGTTGACACTACAATGCAAAAATTTTCATGTGACTGAACTCGAAGTGGCTGGTACCTTTTGGTACAAGAACTCAAAGTAGCTAATGGCAGAACAGAGATGGGAGGGTAACTGGTGCTGGCAGTTCCCAGCAGCCTATAGAGAAAGATGGTATTATCTAACAGATAACTCTCCAAGTTCAAATGCAGGCTTGGAATATGATCTTGGGGTGGGTTCCTGCATGTTGCTGTACTTGCTGTATATCAGTTAACCCTATGCATTTGCTTATTTTGGCCTTTGGTTTGTCAAAGGACAAGCAACGGCTCTTCCTGGGTTTTCAAACTTTTTTATTAAAAAGGGGGGGAAAATGTAAAAGCGGTACATACAGTATAGCTTTGGGGCTTGGTTTGCTATGCTAATTTAAACAAAAGTGGGTCAGCAATATAATGTGCATAAACCTTCTGTTTGCTTGTGTGTCTTTGAAGGTACTTCAAGTAATTTCTTTCAGTTTTAATGTATCAGTCTCTGTCACTGGGAATCTTGGTTAAGATTTAATGCTCCCCAAATTTAAAAATTTCAGTATAGTTAAGAGAATAAACATATACTTTCTGTAGAACAAGGCGCTTCTGAACTAGCTATACTTACTGTCTTTCAGAAAGCACAAGCATGCCAACAAAGACTCAGTAAAGAGATTTCAGACTTCCTTGCAATGGTTAAATCTTTGGATGCTACAAAAGGTAAAACTTATTCTTCTAAAATGCAGTTTGTTACCAGGCAACTAATTTTTTTGTTTTAAGCAGCACGTGCTTTCATTTCACTGAAATGAAATTTTCAGCAGCTTGAAAGTACAGGACGGTTTTCCTCATTGGAAAAAATTTAAATAAAGTAACATTATAGCAGTATCGTAGGAAAATAAGGTAGGGGTTCACTTTCAGGGTTTTGAAAAATGTGTAGTTGGTAGATAATTGCAGAGCATAAGTGTGCCCTGACAGGTACAAAGAGCTAGTTATCTTACTCTAGCTTTCCTCTCAAAAAACTTGTAGTGAGTGGAAACAATGAAAGCTGAGGCATGATAAACAGGATGTCAAGTGAAATCACAAAACTATATAGGGAACTAGAGTCATGGTGTGGTGGGATATGTTCCACAGACTTCTGCCATGAGTTTTATGCCAGATTTGAACTTCTCAGGCTTCATTTTAAATAATAACTCTTAAATTAACATGTACCTGGATTTTTGTATCATAATTGCCAAAAAACAGCACAGGCATCAAGCTGTTAGAGATTAGAACTTGTTTCATTTAATGCTGTAAACATGTACAGAAGTTGCTCATGTATTAAACACATAAAGGACTTCTTACAGAACATCTAAATGCTGCTGCTTTGAACCTGAGTTCTAGTTACATATTATGACTAAAATTTATGAAGCTCAAATTGGAGAACAAGTTGTTTATCTGTACAGATCTGTAGTCTGTAATACAATAGTAGTTTTAGGAGGAAAAAAGTTCTTCATCTTCCATCCCTGTGCCTTCCCAAAAGGAGTCTAAAATACAGCTTTTTCTCCACATGCTACTGGGGTAAGTTACTGCGTGATGTTAACCTATCTTGCACTAACTGAATTTTTACTGAATTTTTATTTTGCAAAGAAAAGTAAGGTCTCATAATACATAAGAGTGTTTTCTTGGGAAGCCTTTGTAATTAGTAATACAATAAAACTGAATTCTTCGCAAAATGCAGTTTGAAAACTAGTATGATATGGATAAATTCCCTCTGGTATATGGAGGGAAAGTTTATCTGACCCCGTATTGCTGACCTGAAGAACCAGTGAGGACATTCACTTTTTTTTTTTAAAATACACAGCTTGAGTAACCAAAACCCATAGTAAAGCAAAACCAGATACTATCTCTTTCCTAGAAACTGCTAGTCTTGGCCAATAGCAGTAATAAGTTCCTATTTTCCTCCCAATGAATGTCTGTAACTTGATGGGTCAGTGAACTGTTTCCAGGCTCATGTGTCACCTCCATAAGTCCTGACAGAGAAAACTGCTGCAGCTCTCCCAGTTCTCACATTGGGTTGATGTGGTATCTTTAAAGTATTTGAGTCCTCTGGCTCCAGAAGAATGCAAATTTCTGAGTTAAGAGTCCTTCCATGTGGAACTTCTCCTAAAAGGTTTTGAGTAATATAAAAATGGCTGTCTTGGGACCTGATATTTCAAATTCTCTCCCTAACTGTTTCCACGTGCTATTCTAAATCCAGGTATCTTTGAGATTTATGCACATTATTTATTACATAGAGAGATGTCTCCTGCTCCTGCACTCAGTGTGCTGCCCCTCCTTCTAGAGGCACTAGCTGTTCTTGATAGCTGCTGTAAGTGGAGATTCCCGATTCCAGTCAGTGAGCTTTGATATCAAAGACAACAATTAGTGTGTGGATATGTACTGTATCTTGTCCTGCACAAGCAGTATAAGTTGCAAAATAAATTAAAGAACTGTCACTGCCGGACCTCTTAATCTTTATTGGTGTGACATCAACTTGAAGCACCTGTGTAACTGGTAAATGGTGTCAACTGATCCTGGTGTCTGTGGTCACTAAATGAACACTTATTTTAATTGCATCAGGTATGCTTCCTGAGAGAATGGCTTGCTTGACTTCTGAGGAATTGCAGCCCATCACAACACTTCAAAGATGAACTCAAACATTTCTACCAGCTGATCGGGTTATGTTTTCCTGCTGGTTCTAGACATGTAGCCCCTTCTATAAATGGTCATACAAGTCAGGATGTAATGTGGCATTGCTCTGCAAGCTGTACTACATATCTAGAAGATAAGTCCATGAAAATAAATCTCCTTCCCCTTTTATTGATCAGTGTCCTTGTAACTCCCCATCTATTTTTCAAACTTAAATCTCCAGCTGCACTGTGGTAAGCTTTTTTTTCTTCTAATACCACAACAGAAGGCAAAAAAAGCTACATTTCTCACTTTAACTTATATTAAACCAGTGCAGTATCCTTTATATTTGAATTGTCACCTGGCAACTCAGGCTTTTAAATCTAGAAGGTGGTTAAAAGGAGATAGTTGCTAGTCACTGTTCCAGTATCTTGTTGCCATAGCACACTACCTCTGCTTTCTAAGCCATGCTGAAAGAGGAGCTCAATCCATTCATGTGCCCATGTGCCACTTAGACCAATACTAGGGAAAGGGTGCAAAAGAACGAACTTAGGTTCCCTGTGTGCTACTTTTGCTTGCCCTTTCCTCACACAGATCTTACAGTGCACCAGCTGTTCTGTAGAATGTGAATGATATGTCTGCATTACTTGGAGGAAAGTATAATTAAAAGAATCCTGTACTTCACAATGTCCCCCTAATGCTACTAATCTTTTGTGCTTTCAGGAATATCTTCTCCACTCCTGCAAAAAGTTGATGTTGTCTCTGAAGTATCCCAGGAAACATGTGAGGCCCTGGCTGACTGCCTCAACCTATTTACAAAGCAAGAAGGGGTATGTATTATGCTGTGTGGGCCTATAAAGGGTCTGAATAGCTTAGTATATCTTGCTAGTTCCCTGCTTACCTGTTACAAAAATAAATACACACACCCACAGAACTTCATATTGTTGGTAAGCTGTCCTTTTGCACACTGAATGTCTAATGAAAACTCATGCCTCTAGGGAAAAAGTAGCTAAGTTCTTCTACGAAAGGATATCTTAATATTTGAGTGTTCAGAAGAGACACATTTTGTTTACAAACTGCTGCTTGTAATGTTCAAAGTGAATGCTTGAATTCAATAAAGCAGTGGCTTTGCTGATTTGAAGGTTAAAATATTGAGAAAATTCTGGGGTTTTTTTTTTGTACTGGCTAACTGAAGTGTTGAACAATATTGCTTCTGAATTTGTTTTTCAGACCATGTGCTTAGTGGGTGTGCGAATGCTATCTGTTGAACTTCTGGCTTTCCAGTGACAAGTATCTTGCATGGTGTTAAAACATAATGCAAATGCTTCAATTTGGGAATGTATGTTAAACTCATTAATTCCTGGGGTAGGAGATCTGGTATTTTTCTCCCCTCCCTAGTACCATGGAATAAACTTGTCTTCCTGTATTGCAGTAACAGTAATCCCTCAGTTCGGCTCTTGTTGTCATCAGTAAGCTGTGTTTCAAAATGAGGTTTGTGTTGGTGCTGTTAGTCTTCCAGTTATTTAACAGTGAGCTGCAAACACTGGCTCCATTGTCTAGGTTTGGTTTAAGATTTTTTTTTCATTCCTTTCCAAGCGTTTTTGTCTCCAGTCACAAGTCTTCTACACTTACTTGAGTCAAGCCCTAGCAGAGTGGAACGAGCATTGCATTTTTACATTGAGTTTTTTTCTTTAAGAAAAATCTAATATTAAAGTTGCCAGTTCCATTTGTGGTTGAGGGGGAAATTGTTACAACAGTGGGTGTATAGTGTTAGTTAGTAGTCCTTAATTGTGTTGGCATGTTGCTTCAAGCCAGACTAAAATAGCTTTCCAGCGTTGACTATGGCAAAACATATGGTGAAATTGTAATTTCACCTTACTTGAACTTGAACAGTCTCAGTAGGTGTTATAGAGGCCTTATTTTAATCTGGAAGCACATAGATTTGGGCACAGAGGGATAGGCTGAGGTGTGAACTTGAATTTCCACCATAGCTAGTGAAATCAGTTGGTCATGACAGGGAGTAGATGTGATCCTGGAAAGTTTTGTGTCTTGATATTTTTAGACTTCAAACTACTGCAGTTCCAGAATGTAATGCAGGCTTTCAAAAATGCCATAAGCTCATAAGGGAAATTACAGCAGCAAGCTATTCCTAAGACTTGAACCTTTCCAAAAAGTTATGTTCCTTGAGCATTACTCTTCTCAAACCCACAGCATTTGGTTTTGTTGTCTTTTATGACAGGGCCCTGTTCTTTGCCATTTAGTGTTGATTTCTGGACTGTAGTTCTGTTGGCATTGCAAAAGCAATGTATTGGGCTCTGCATTAGCAATTGATGGGACTCCCATTAAATGTCTCGATATTCCTTCCAAGCATCTTGAACAGTAAAGCACAACTCTAAAGTGTCAAACTGATATAAAAACACTTGTCTAAAATAATCTAAAAACTGATCTTTTCTAGTGTTTCTCTTCTGATCATGATCTCAATAATGAAGTTAAGGCTTTGGTGTTGTAAATATTTGGGAACAGCTGCCATGAACGCTCTGCTCTGGCAATAATTGGTTGCTGTTAACCTAAAACTGCCAAACATCCTTCCTGAAGGTAAACTTGACAACTCTTGTTTAAAAGCTGCTTTCCTCAGGTGTCTTTTGTTGTCAACTGGACTGTTTGACTGCAACTTGTCTTATGGGGATGCCCTGATAGGCCTTCCTCTGCGTAGAGAGGAATTAATTGCTTCACACTACCTCTCAGCTGTATTGTGCATGTCCCGTGAAATCTGGTTCTTGCTAGAACAAACGTTTTCATGAGCTTGGTACCTTTTTATCTTGCCTCTTTAAGGAGAATTCTTTCTCCCTCTAACTTAAATTGCCAGCATACCCGAAGCCACTGCTTGACTAACGAGGTGGCACTGCTAACTTCAGTAAGGATAACTACAGTGAACGCACACTCTTTGCCTTTTAGAGAAGACGTTTTGTTTAGTATTACCCACCTCTGCGCTGTGTAAATTGTAGCATAATTGTGCAATATGCAAATGAAACTGCTCATACAGCACTGAAGAAAAAAAAAGGTACAAAGGTTCACGTCTCTTCCACTTGCGTTAGGAATGGTGCAGGAGCGTGATCTCCAAACGCTCCCTCTGTCCGCTGCTCCCCCCCCTGCCAAGCGCGGCGTCTCCCCCGGCGCCGCCGTGCGGGGCTCGGCGTGCACATTGTCGGTGGCGGCGGCGG